AAGCTCGGGATTCGCGCCATGTATGTGGCACACAACTGTTCTATCGATGTAAATAAAAAAATCACAGGTTTGGTCTTCAGAATCAAGCGGCAAATCATGATACGAGAGGGGAGCTCTAACGTGCCATTTAGTAGCACTCATGGGATCTGGTCAACAAAGGTGTAACTATGAAGTCAGTCGGGCAAACCCTTTCGAGGAGGAGAGCACGCCGACGAAGGGAAGGACTCAACAATACGGGCCGACAGTTTCTCGATCAACTAGATGACGCATTTGAACAAAGACAGAACGAATCCAATCCTTATATACTATACACAATTTAGACTGATTCCTTAATTTAATAGAGGCTGGCCTTCCCGAAGACTTTCTCAGTCCACTAAGGAATCCAAGCCAGGAATCTGCGAACAAGAACAGGGAAATTCAGACTATTACTTCTTCTCCCGCTCGTCCCCATCCCCTCAATTACATCGACCCTAAGGGTCATCAAAGAAAGGATTCTTGCAACGCATTCTATCACTTTCTAGAAAACATGAAAACAACTTCTTTTTGACTTTCAGAAGAATAGGTTGTAAGAAGGGGTAGAAGAAGAGCCGATTCGTTCACATCCAGGAATTAGAATCAGAAGCCCACAACCAAAAATTCCGAGCACCGGCATTAATCTTTCGTGCAAAGGCCAATGGAGTTCTTAAACGAAGCGAAGTTCAGTCAAACAAGCAACGGATTGAGCAACTAGCGCGAAAGCCGTTGCGCGTTAGCGCAGTAGTTTGATTGCTGGAGCGAAAGGCGATGCAAGAGGACGTTAAGAGGCTTCAAAGGCAGACTGGACAGGAAGTCGAGCTAGCAGATTGAAAGCTAAATTGCCAAGGGATGCGCGCACTAGCTAGAAAGCCCATTTTTTGCACCCCTTCCTCACTAGGATCAACTAAAGAACCAGCAAGTGCCTCGAGCCTACGCTGGCTTTGAGGGAGAGTCGGTAAGATGGCAGGGTACATCCTCGTATTCTTTGGCCTTCGGGTAGGTATTCCATACCTTCTCTAGGCGTTGTCCTTTAGAACGGGAGCTCTTTGAAGCGGGCTCTAGCAGCCGCATCGTAGGGAAAGCAATAACAAGGCATGTCGGATCTTAAGAAGCAGCTCATCAAGGACTGCGAAAGCTGGGTCGGAAACTACGGAGGGAGTCGAACCAAAGGAAAGAATCCTAAGACCAGTCGTTAACGAAAGCCCGAGGTCAAGCGATGCAGAGATACGACAGCCAATGCCAAGGGGTTCAGCTCGTATTCTTTTCCCGGTGGTGTGTACAATACCTCCTCTAGTCGTATTAAAGCAAGGGAGCTCTAAGAGCGAAAGCCCAGTCGCCTAACAACAAGAACTCAGAAACATCTACACGGTCAACTACTCCTGTATTCAATCACTGTCAGGAATACTACTCATGTCCGAGTCCTGTATCCATTACCTAGACTCTTCGAACGAGGAACTCTAGGGCAAAAGCTGTCACAGGTGGCTATCGCCTATCCTGAACCTGAGCTCGCTACGCAACAAACAAGTGCTTCGCTAGTCTATCGGGTTCCTGACCTGTTTACTGACCTACCTCTATTACACGCGTATATATGCTCTTCTCTGATCCCTTGACCTGCTACCTACCCGGAAGAGCAACTCTTCTAAGAAAGGGCTAAAGCGTAAACCTGTCTACCTCTACCGGGACCTTACCTGAGACCTTGGACCGGAACCTGCCAACATATGCTCCTTCGGTCTGGATTATTCGTATATTGTCCTAGAAAGACCAGGCAATATGCAGTCCTTTGCCTTCGGTGTTAGCACTGATTGTCCTTGCCATACACGCGTATATATAGATATGCTGGTTGTTTGACCTAAAGATTTTATGACAATGGAGGCCTCTTGCCAATCGCAAAGGATGATTCACCCACGAGGGTCGGCAAACGCCCCTTTTCCATATATGTCTTCGAAGGGTCGATTTCAGAGATCGGGAAAAAGGCCAGGTTTCCAAGTCATGGTTTCGGGAAGCCAGCCCTTTTTATTTTAGGGCAAGGGATTACGAGTCCTTTGGTCGGAAGAAGGCAAGCGTTAAGGTCTTCCATAGGTATGCCTGTCAGGTTGTTCAATATGGTAAAAAAGAGGGTTGCAGATTCCAGATGCAGGCGGGAAAGGGCTTCAATTAGGTACCTGGGGTCCTCTACTGGGAAGTGGATCTTCCCGTCGGTCTTGCTCTCAGGTTCGTAAATACGGTACCGGAGCCGGTTTGCGAGTAGTGATAGCCGTTAGGAGTCCAAAGAAGCGGTCAAGAGATCGGAGTTGGTCTTACCAATCGGGTTGGGGAATAGAGAGATGGAGAATTGCCTGCCCTTTTCAGTTGAGGAATTACAAAGAAGTTGAAGTCCTTTCTGAAGAAGTGCAGCGATCAATCCTGAGAGATTGCTTTCTTTTACCGCTCGATAGAAGGAAAGGAGATCAACTGAAACAGATCTTTTCCTAGGGATCGAGCGATCCGATTCCAAAGAAGAGATTCAAAGCCCTTACCCGTAGTTGCGTAGTTGGTTAAGTCAGAGGAAGAGAAGGAGACGGTATGAGCGGCCTTATCCGGTTTCGGAACCGTAATAAGAAAAGAACTGGAGCTCGAGAGAACAAGCAAGGGATTGAGCAAGACGCGCGAAAGCCGTTGCGCGTTAGCGCATCCGTTTTCTTGCTGGTCGGAAACTGGCAAGTCGAGATTACGAGTGGAGTGGGTAAAAGCCTCGATCTGGATTGCATTTTAATCCGGATATTTAGTTCCAACCAAGAAAACTGGCCTCGCGATCAATCACAAGGGTCAAGAAAAGCAAGATTTCTACGATTGCTGACTGATAAATGAAATATGTCTCTACGCTGGAGTTAGAATACTCGGTCGGAAACAAACTGGATAGCGCTAGGAAGAGCATTAATACC